CGTGGCGACGCGGGTGAGCCGGGCCCCTTCTGCGCCGCGTAGTCGGCCTTCTGACTCAGGCGGATTTCTCGCTGCAGCCTGCGGGAGGCGGGGCGTGAGAGCCGCGGCGGTGACGGTCCCCGGGTCGTGCGCGCCCGGCCGCCTGCACGCGCTCACCTGCACCAGCAGAGGGCGACCATGGCCAGGGCGGCCGCGCCGGCCAAGGAGCACACGACGATCAGTGCTGCAGGGACGGGCGCGGTGAGGTCGGCCCCGGGGAGCCGAGCCCTCCTCCCCCGCCGGCTCCGCCCGCCATAGACCTACCGAGGACCAGGCCGTCCCCACGCCCGCCTCGGGGCTCCAGGGGCGCCATGTGCACGGGCCCAGACGACACAGGGGAGCCCAAGGAGGTGCGGGGAGAGGGCGTAGGGGCTCCCCGGGGAGAGGGGAGGCCCAGCTCGGGTCTCTGGCCCCGCTCCGAGAGCCCCAGGGTGGCCGCTGCAGAGAGAGGGCCGGTTAGAACGGGGGACCAGGCTGGGGGTCACAGGCGTTGGGGGAGGGTCCGAGGGGTAACGGCCGGGTCTCACCAGGCTCCAGGAGCCGCTGTCGGGCCTCAGGCTGAGGCCGCTCGGTTAGGCTCCGGGGCCCGGCCTCCTGCCGGGCGAGCTCCTGGGCTAACAAGTCGATTTCATCTTCCAGGCTGGGCTGTGGCGAGCCCCTCCCTAAGAAGGCCAGGGTCCGTCAGGCTAGGGAGCCCCCACCCCTTGGCTGGCAACCCCAGCCTCAGGTGGCCTCCCAGGAGGGAGGGGGCACGGACGTCTGGGAGTCAGCTCCCAGGCGTGGGGCCAAGCTTCTGCTGGAAGGCCTGGTACCAGCCTGCAGTGCCATCGCATCCAGTTGCCATGGTGACAAGTGAGGGCGCTTCACCAGAACTGCAGCATCAATGCCCGGGGAAACAGGAGTGGGGCAGGGGGGAGGGGTGCTAGGGAACCGCTCCAAGACCAGCAGGAGAAAGGCAGGGTTGCCCCTTAACCGACCCTTTATCTATGAAAGCCTGGACAGAGCAGTGGGACCCCTGCCCCCCAAAATGGCCTGCTAGGTCCTCACTCTGGAGCACCTCTCTGGCCAATGAGGGTCAGGAGTAAGCCCAATTGCCCAGGCTCCCACTCTGCCCACCCCTCTCCCACTGCATCAGGAGAAAGGGAGGGTGGGGGTAGGGCTGGGACCCCAGTTTGCTGTAGCTCAAGGGTCCATAGCCCAGGCAAAGGCTCCCAGACTGTCAGTGCCAGGAAGAACCTTCCTCGAACCAGGCCCCTGCTGGCCTCATCCCAGCCCCCCTCGGTAGAGTCCCATCACACCTGCAGTCCCTCAGTGTCCGGCTGTGCTGACCCTGGGCTCCGGGAGTATAGCAGGTGCTCTTTCTTACACATTTGCTAATGAGTGGGCAGGTCAGTGAGCGGTGGAGAGAGCACGGAGCATGTGCAGGCACCCAGGGTGGGGAGCGCATGGGGCAGAGCCTTTGAGGCATCTGTACAGGAACCAGCGACCGTCCCCTCCTGGGATCACCCCAGCGCTTCACAATGGACACCCCTTGCTCTGGGAGGGGAACTTGGTGAGACAGTTGAGGGTGGAGACATGAGAGCCCCTGGCCTGAGGCCTGAAGAACCCAAAGAACAGGGAGCTGGCGGCCACCCTCCCAGCCCTAGGAGCTGAGGGCGGCCTCCTGCTGGCCTCAGAGGAAGCTCGGCAGAGGAAGGCGGCAGGATACAGTCACGTACCCAGAGGCCTGCGCACCCTGGGCACGCACAGTCCTTGCTGGTCCTCTTGGAAGGGCTGCAGGCAGGGCCCACAGGCGTGCGCGCCTGGGGGGCACCGTGTCCGCCTCCTCAGGGCACAATCCAGGCTCCCGGGGCAGGCGGCTGCATCTGGGAGGAGGCAGAGACAGGACTGGTCAGGGTGGTGCTAGCAGGCCCTCAGCACCGCCGCCATGGACCAGACACCGCCCCCACGGAGCCCTGCCTGGCTCTGGCCATTGTTGTGGGAAGGCCCTCCCTCCTGGCTGCCAGAGATTGGAACCAGGAAGACAAACAATCCCAAGACTTATCGGAACTGCCCTGCCCCACCCTTCCCCCAGACCCCACCCCCAGGCTTGGGCCTGCTGCTGTACCACCAAACATCTCTCGCTGCTGGTGCAGCAGTGGGCTCTGCTGGGCAAGGCCTTGCCGCCCCAAACTCCAGCCTCCGTGTGCTCTGAACCCTCCACCCAGCCTGAGAACCTTGAGGGTGGGGCCCAGGAGTCTCTTTGGCCACCCCTCACCACTCCCACCCCTTGGGGCTGCTTCAAATCCTCATCACCCCATCCTGCAGCCCTAGAGAGCCAGGCCTGGAGGCAGCCACTGCCCCGATCCAACCTCTGGCGTGTTCCTAGGGCACAGAGGCCCACTGGAGTAAGGAAGACCAGGGATGCAGTTGGCTGGAGCCACTCACTTGGTGAGAGGAGACTGGGCTGGGGACCCTCCTGCAGCCATGCTGTAGCCAGGGGCCTGAGCAAGGCCGGGGGGACGAGCTCCCTCCCAGCTCCCAGCACACTTAAATCTCCCTGAGTTGGCCTAGACCCTGGTGTCCTACTTGAATACATGGCCAGTCGGTCCCTCAGAGAGGGAGCTTCAGGTGGGACTCCGGACTTCCAAAAGCAGTGGGAGCCCATCCTGATGCCAGGGAGAGGCAGTGGTCCTGCCTCAGTTTCCCCTGGGAGGCAGACGGTGAATGTTTTGAGGCTTGGGATGCTGGCTTTCCAAGGACCCTGCCAAGCCAGAGGGGTACATGGCAGGACTATCCACGCTGCTGGGGAGGCTGGGGGTGCCCACCTCCCCCACTGGTGCCTGAGCTGTTGGGGCCCAGGGTGGCATGGGTGATGAGGGAAAGCCCAGCTCTGCCCTTCTCCAGACCTTGACAGCCCTGGCTTGATCTCCTTGGCAACCTGACGCTGCCCGGGCTGCAGGCATCCCTTTGGGGGGAGCCCCTGCAGCAGGCAGGCAGGTGTGGAGGGCACAGGTCCCACCACTGGGTCAGAGTCTGGCTGAGCCCGGGACTGGTTAAACATTAATCCCACGCCAGCAGGTCCATCAGGACCCCACCCACTGGTGGGGCCAGGCAGTCCCTGCCCCTGGTGCTGATAAACCAGAGGGCAGGCGCTGGGGTCTAGGCTCAGGATCTCTCCACCTGCCTTCCTCAAGGCTGCCCCTGTTGACTCCAGAAGGCAGTGCTCTCTGGCCTCAGGGTGGAGGATGCGGTTCCAGGAATAAGAGTGGCTGGAGAGTGGCAGGCACCCTGGAAACCCCAGGGGCCCTGCCAGCGTGCCGGGGTGGGAGCCAGCTGCCACCAAGGTGGCTATAATGCCACAGCAGCCTATGCGCAGCAGGGGTGCCACTGCCCCTGGGCCTGAGCATGGCCAGCAGCAGGCAGCTTCCACTGGAGGCCCCGTCTGGCAGACCTCTAGGCCCGTGTGCCCCCCGGATCCTCTTCAGGCCATGCCAGCTTCCCATCCGGGGGGGCTGTGCCCAGGAAGAGGCCTCACTGCCCAAACCGGACTGCCTGGGTTAGCCTCCCAGCTCCAGCACGCACTAGCCACTCCGCTTCCCCGTGACTCGGTCCCTCATCTGCGCAGTGGGCTCACAGCAGCACCTGTTCTGAAGGGATGCCAGGACAACTGAGTGACCGTGTGTGACGTGTCCCGACTGACTCAGTGCTGTGGCCTGTGAGCCATTCATCTGAGAATCATGATCTGTAGGCCGTCCTCGACGCTGGGCACAGCCTCACACTCGAGCTCCTCCAACCTGGGAGGTAGAGTCCAGGGGTCCTGCACACTGTCCCTGCCTCGGTGCCCACTGGGAGGTGGGGAGGGCCTTTCAGAGCCTGGCCTCCTGCCTTTTTATCCGAAGTCTACCCTGGAAGGTGCCCAAGCTGCTCCAGGAGGGCTGTGAGGGGAAGCTATGAGAGTGGAAGGACCCCGGATACTCCTCCGTAAACCAGAGGAAGGCCTTAAGCCTGGGATGGGCTCTTAAGGGCTGAAGGACTTCAGACCCCACCACAGCAGGAAAGCAAGGCTCCCGTAAAACACCACGCGAGGCGGAAGGACAGGCAGACCAGAGCCAAGTGGCAGACCCCTGGACAGACACGGGCAGCAAGGCCAGCAGGCACCCAGGGCCAGGCCTGCCCACGCTGGCGCACACCGACACGCAACAGAGCCGCGCGCAGGGCAGAGTCGGTGGCAGGCCCACCGGGCCACAGCTGGGGGACCCACGCAGCCCCGGGCGCAGAGACCTCCGAGACATGGGCAGACAGCCTCGCAGACGCCGAGACAAAGGCGAGAAGCGCATGAGTTCAGGTTCACCGCCCAGACGCCGCGCCCGCGCTGTTTACCGCACCCTGGGCCCAGGCGGGGCCGGCGGGCGGTCAGGACGCGGGCCCGGCGCAGGGCGGCGACGGCCAGGGCAGCCTCAGCTCCCCGCGGCGGAGGGCTCGGGTCTGCGCCGCGCGCTCGCTCACCGGGGCGGCCGGCGGCGGCCCCGCGGAGGGCCGCACCGAGGACGAGGCCGGAAAGCAGGAGCCGTAGCAGCCGCAGGTGCCGCGGGGAGGGCGGAGGGACGGGCGTCGCCATCCTTCAGCGCGGTCGCCAGGGCAGCATGGCACCGCGCGGCCCGGGGCTCGGCGCGGGATCCCGGCGCAGCGGAGGAGGAAGTGCAGGCGGAGGCGGCGGCGAAGGAGGAGGAGGAGGAAAGGCGACCGCGGAGGCGCTGACGCTGCGGCAAAGGATCCGGGATGGAGGCGCGGCGGCTTCAGGCGCGCGCGCGCGCGCCGGAAGTGCGCCTGCGCGCTCGTCCAGCGGAGGCGGGCCCGCGCCTCCAGGCTGCGCCCCCGCCTCCTCTCCCCTCCCCCGCCTCCGTGCCCCATCGCGGACCTCTCCAGGCCCCAAGGTGCTTCGGTCCCTGCAGCCTTTGCAGCCGGGGCGCCCCTATGCTCCGCATGACTCCGGCTGGGGAGTGGCCGGGGGTGGGTTTCCCCAAGATGCGCTCTCTCCCCGCCCCCTCCTTGTCGAACTACCGGCCTCACACCCCACCCTACCCCTGCTGGAGCGGAGGACCTGCCGGGGCCCAGAGGCTCCAGCCCCATGGAACGCCGGGACACGCAGGCGCTACGGGTAGGCAGGTGCACAAGGTTGCACAAGTGTGGCCAAGGACGTGCCGCGGCTCTCAGATACCCGGGGACAAGCACCCACACACACACTCCAGAACGAAGCTGGCGCTAACCGCCGCGCGCAGGGAGGCCACCAGGGGGCGAGAGAGACCCGGAACTGCTGACCGGCGCCCGCTGGGAGCTGTCCAAGGTGGTCATACCAGGCCCCAGATAGACCCCAGGAGTCCCTGCGCCTCTACCCTAGCGAGCACCTAGGAGCCCCCTCACACCCCACCTGCTGCATCATGGGAGCACGCCCCACACTCCCCCACCTGGCAACCTGCCCCTGGCCCACATCACTGAGACCAAGGCTGTGATCCTCAATCTGCGCTTCCCCCCAGCGACTCCGAGCTGGGACTGGCTGCCTTCGGGTTTGTGAAATGGCTCAAAAAATGGCAGAAGTAGGGGGATGGCGTGAATGAAACAAGGACCGCCCTCCCCCTCTGAGCACTGACCAGATAAAAACAGCATCTGAGCTCACTTCCCAGAAAGGGGGGTGGGCAGCCATGACCAAGGCTCCCCGCCGAGCTAGGAGGAGGGCTGCAGGAGCGCTGTCATCCGCGAGGACTACGGGAAGAAGCAGGAACCGAAACACCGCCCCCGGGTGGGAGGGGCGCACTGTCCCCTAAAATGACCAGCCTTTCCGCGAGGTTAAGCCCCGCTGCGACGGAGCCCGCCAGCCGCTCCCGGCCCCATCTCACCTGCGGTCCCATTCCTCCCCTGTCCCCGCCCCTGCTTCTCTCAAGCCCCCTCCCCAGTGGCTACGGCGTTGGCCGCACGCAGAGCTGCCGCGCCCCCCATCCCTTGTAGGTTCCTCAGGCCGACTTGAGGCCAGGGCCCCGCCTGGTTTAGGTCACCGGTCCCGCGGGGGCAGCGGGGGCGCGTGGGTGCTGGAGAGGAGTCAAGGGGTTCAGGCTCCTCCCTTCAGCCAGATGCCGGGGCAGTGGCTCCAGGCAACCACGAGCCAGGGGAACGTCAGCGCCGCCCCAGTGCTGGACCCAGGGGGGAAGGAGGGTGGGAGAGGTGTGTCCACAGGACATAAGGTCGGGGGGCCAGGGGCGAGCCCGACTAGTCGGTGCTGCTGGAGGGCGATCAGGCTCCGGCAAAGAGGCCCCACCCCATGAACCCCGCACTGCTCTACGAAAAGAAAATTTATTATAGAATCTTTCCAAGTAAGTGCTAGGCTGGCTCCCGGCCTGTGGGCTCTGCCTCCTCCGCAGAACAGGAGGGGGGCCTCGAGGGCCCCGGTTTTCAGATGAAAAATTCACCCCCAAAGAGAAGACACACGCTGAGTCCGCCAGAGCCCCCCGCCCCCAGGAACTGAAAAGGGAGAAGACGCCTTAGGAGTGGCCGAGGCCCGGAGAGCGCAGGGGCCGGACTGGCTTCCTCTAGCTCCCCTGAGCCACGGTGGGACTGGACGCCCGGGTGCCCGGCTCGGTTCCGGGGTGCGCTGGAGGCTGGATGCCCGGGTGGAGGGGCAGAGAGGACGGAGGTGAGCCCATGGCCCGCCCCTAGGTGGTGCTCGGCTACTTGGTGGAGCGCGCCCTGCGCAGCAGCAAGAGGAGCGCGGCCAGGAGCAGGGCGGAGAAGAGCAGGAGAAGGACCACCCAGGAGCCGAACTCCGAGCCCTTGCGCATCCTCGGCGGGTCGGCGGGGATCATATTGGTCAGGTTCAGCATGTAGCCGAGCGCCCAGCCGATCGCCGCGTCACCGGCCTGCAGAAGCGCGCACCGGCTCAGCGTCCGCGAGCCCAGGAAGCCCCGCCCCTCTGGGCCCCGGCCCCGCCCCTCCGAGTGCTGGCCCCGCCCCGCCACCAGCGCCCACCTTCTTCTGGAAGATCAAGCCACTGAAGGTGCTCTCGTTGAAGTGGTAGCCGCGGATCAGCAGCTGCTGCACGAACGTGGCCGCTGCGCAGTAGTCGGCCAGGCGGGACAGATCCCCCGGCGCTCGGGCCTGAAGCTGGGATGCGAGCAGCCAGCGTGGGCAGTGGTTAGGACCGGCCCCCGGCCCTGGCGGTCTGGGAGGTCTCACCCCAGCGCGGAGGGGTGGCTGCAGCGTGCCGCCCCCTCACTGCACACGCAGGAAATGCAAGGACAGAGACCAGGCAGGACTCGAACACAGCAAGACCGAAGCCAGGGCAGGGGCTGAGTGTGTGGCACTGGCCATGTGGCAGTCTCCGCAGAGCACAGGGCTGAAGGGATGTGGCCACGGAGCAGAGAAGCCCCAGGCTTGAGCTAAGCCCTGCCGTCACCCCCAGGGCACAAGGACAGGGCAGGATGGGGGCCTCTGTCACCACCTGACCCCCTGGGGGGCTGAGACGTTGCTACGGCTGGGACAGGTGAGCCAGGGGCATCTCGCACCCATGATGTGAGATGTGTTCCAGAAGAGAACCCACGGTCTTCCCCAGAATCTCAGGGGTTGTCTTCAACTCCCTCCCCATCCCCAAGCCCTGCCCACTCTCTGGAACCCTTCCACCTCGCTTGGAGGCCAACACGCACTTTCACGCCCCTCCCCATCCCCAAGCCCCACCCACTCTCTGGAACCCTTCCGCCTCGCTTGGAGGCCATCACGCACTTTCACGCCCCTCCCCAGGCCCTGTCCCAGAACCCTCCTCTCAGCGCATCTGCTGTCACAGGGCCTTTGCACTCACTTCTCCCTCGGCGTGGCTGGCTGTCCCCACACCATCCAGATCATGGCTCTAGGGTCAGGCCTCGGGGAAACGTCCTGGTTATGAGCACCTGCCCCTGCCCCACCACAGCTCACCCACGAGTCTGTAGGCTGCACTGAGCACTGAGAGCCCTGGGTCCCGCCACACTTGGAGAGATGGTGGGGGGCAGGGCCTCACCTCCTCCCAGGTCTGGTTGCAGACGGTCACCACAGCCACCTCCAGCTGCTTCAGGGTTGCCACGGGCAGCCCCATCGTGGTCCTCAGGAAGTCCACGGTGTAGAACAATGCAGAGAAGGCCTTAGAGGAAGGGCGGTCACATGGGCACAGCCCAGGCACTCCAGGACACCCCACACACACACACACACACCCTCCACCTGGACGTACCATAAACTTCCCAGCTACAGGCGGCTGGAAGACACCGTTGAAGGAGCAGTGGGAGAAGCGGCAGGAGGAGGAGTTGAAGAGGCCGGACACGAGGCTTTGGCAGAGCGCCTGGTTGCCGCTGCCCGACAGGTTGAGTCTGGCACTGCTGTTGAAAGTCTGAGGCCCCTGGGCTGCGGTGCACGGAGACCCGTACACATCCTGCAGGAGCACCTGGGCAGTATAGCCCCTCGGCCAGCAGGGGTGGCCACTGTAGTTCTGGGGGTGGCAAAGGTACAGGTAGTGTCCCCCCTCCGAGCACAACCCAGACCCCAACCCCAAGAGCCTCCCCAGAAGGCAAGCCATGCGAATCGCCCACAAATCCTACTTGGGTGCCATCACGTCTGGCTCAGGAATCCCTGACACCCAGTGCCTTCTGAACAAAGAGCAAATCTGCGGGCCAGGCTTTCCAGGGACTCTGGGATCTGGCCCGCCCTTCTCCCGAGCTGGCACTCACAGGCCCACCCCGGCCCAGGGCCTTTCCCACGCGGGCTTCCCCTGCCAGCCGAGGATGGCATCTTTGACACTGCTGCCTCGGGCACCCCTCTGCAGGGTGGCCGCTGTCCAGGATGGGCTCTGGGCCCTTCTCGTCCCCCAGGGAGGAGCAGTGTGGCTGGGAGGCCTGCGGGCACCAGCACCTGGATGACACTGGCCAGCAGCCTCCGGAGCAGCTGCTCACGGCCATAGCAGAGGAAGCTGTGGGTGTAGACGTGGTACTGCTGGCCATAGAGCTGCAGCTGGACCTGCTGGGCCGGATCCTCAGCCACACTGGCTGTCTCAAAGGTGATCTGGGTGGAGGCGCCTCCCAGGTCCATGGCCCCCAGTGTCCCCTTCCTCGGCTGCAACCAGTGGCCCATCCAGTCGTACTGAGGAGCGTTGAGACTGAGGGTCAGCAGGTGGAGGGTGCCCACGCCCTGGGGCTTACTGGGCCCCTCGCCTGGTCCCTGCCCACCTTGATGAAGTTCTCCAGCAAGTAGTTGACGGTCACCCAGCCAAACACTCCCTCATCCTGGCCCGAGAGGATGTGAGCACCACGGAAATCAAAGGGGTACTTAGCCAGGGTCTGTGTCACAGCCTCTAGGACACTGGCTGAGGCCTGGGGACTCATCATCCTGTGACACAGGGAATGCTGAGCAGCCACCTTCCCAGAAGGATCCACCCTGGGCAGGAAGGTACCCCTGCCAGGCTGCCCAGTCAGGGAAGGGCACACTCACTGGAGCAGCCGCATGCCCGCCGTGGCTCCCAGGTAGAGCGGCGTGCTGGCGTGTTTCTCCCTTGGCACGTCCCTTAGGGCCTGGTTCAGGCAGGCAACGAGACTCTGGCCAGCCCTGGGGGGGTTGTCTGCATAGCTGGAAATGCCTCCACCTAGGGGGCGGCAAAGAGACGGGCCCAGGGCCTTGGAAGCAGGACGGGGGGTCTCAGCCTTCCAAACCAGGTGACAGCTGAGTCACATTTTCTCAGCTTTCATCCTTGGAGACACCCAAGTCAGAGACAAAGGGGCCCAGGCACCACCCAGAGTCTCTGAGGCTGCAGGCTGCCCACTGAGTGTGGGTCCCGGTGCCAGGACAAAGAGCCTGACCACGGTCAGCTCAGGCCTAGCCTGGGTCCTCTGAGCTCCTCGGGTCTCCTGCTGAGCTTGGCACGCAGAAGCACCCACATCCAGGGCACCCAAACCTTCCAAGCCCTACCTGGGCAGACCTTTCTAGAATGCCAACCGCCCTTAGCGTCCCCACCCAGGCCCAGCACCCAGCGGTTCTTTCTGGGGTTCCTGCAGCTCTGCCCTGGGCACAGGGGCCTGGACCACTGCATCTGCAGGGGCTTAGGCCCTACAGGGAGTAGGTGTCCAGGCTGCTGGGCCCGGGCCCAGGGACACTCACCCTGCACGTCACAGGAGCTGTGCTGGCCTACGATGCCAGTGTTGTTCTCCTTGTCAGCTGGCCACTTGTAGACAAACATGGACGTGTGCGAGGAGCCAGCATCCAGGACGATGCCATACTGGGGATGGGGTGGGCAGGATGGGGTCAGCCCTGCAGCCTGGGGGCCCTGGAGGCCATATCCTTTAGCTCCCCAGCTCCCCTCCACCCCACCCCAAGCTGGTAGCTTCAGAGTGAAATCTCCACTTTATGCTGAAATCCCCTCAGCTTGGCCTGAGGGAGATGGGGGTTAGATAGGTGGCCAAAGCCCCTCGGGTCATCTCTTCCCCTCCACCTGCTGGAAGCCACAGCCCGAACTCAAGTCCTGGGGGCCAGCAGGGGAGGCACCTGGCCACAGCTTTCCTGGCAAGGGTGACCCAAGGGACTGTGCCAGGCCCAGACTTGGGGAGGCATGAGGGGATGTGGGACTACGCTGCCCAGCTGTGGGCGCCGGGAGAGGAAGCTCGGCGGCCCGCCTTCCTCTTCCTGTACCGTCAGCTCTGACCTCAGCCCTACCTGGAGATGCGGAAGCCAGAGCCCCCGGGTGTGGGCCTGCAGCTCCCCGCTGGCTGTGCCGGAAGAGCCCCCTCCCACAAAGCCAGGGATGAGGTGGGTCAGCCGGGCCTGAGGGGCTGAGTGGAGGAGGCGGGAGGTGCCTGGCCAAGCCCAGCACCAATCTCCAGCACCTGCCCCCCGGGCCTGAATTCCAACGAGTTCCACAGCGCTGGAGGCCCCGCCCTCCTGGCTTGCGCGCGCGGATTCCGGCCCCAAGGGGCCCGAGTCTGAGTCCGCGCACCCCGACCAGGGACTGTCCTGGCCAGCGGCCAACCCCGACTTCCCCGGGCGTTGTGTGCGGGGCCAAACCGCCGCGCCACCCTTTGCTCCCTTGCAGGCTCTGGGGCTCCCTCACACCGGCTCTCAAAGCCTGGTCCCCGCAGAAGCCCACTAAGGGAGGAGGTGGCTCGGCCGGACCCGACCCACTCCGGGGCGCTCAGCCGGGGGCCGGAAATCTGCCGAGTCCAGCCCAAGCCCTACGGACCGGCCTGGGCGGCCCGCCCGCACTGTTCCGGCTCCGGCTCCGGGGTGGAGCGGACGGGTGCCTGGCCCCGGTGCCTGTCGGGCCCTATGGGGGCGGCTAAGCGGCGCGCTCCCGATCGGCGGCAGCTCCAGGCACCCGGCAGACGGGGCTGGGCTGGGCGCCGGGTCCCACCGCGCCCGGCGCCGCCGCGAGGCTGCAGCGAGCGGCCGGGAGAGGGCCCTCCGCACACCCGGCTCCGTGGCGGGCTCGGCGACCCGCGAATTGCCGGGACTTCGGCCTCCAGCCCCGCCACCGCCCAGAAGCGCCGCCGCGGCCCGGCGGGCCCGGGCGAGGAGCCGAGCGCGGGGATCCCGCCTGGAGCTGCCCCCCACGTGCGCGGGCCCTGGGCGCGCACCTTGAAGCCGGGCGGCTCCGGGACGTCTCGCGTGCGGACGCACAGCAGCAGCAGGCCGGCGAGGCCCGCCGCGGCCAGGAGCACGAGCGGCAGCAGGGACAGCGTCTTCCCGGCCATGAGCGGGGCGCGCGGGCCTACGAGGCTGGGTGACAGCGCGCGGCGAGCAGTCG